GATGCAGCAACCAGGCAAGTTAGAGAAATCTTCCTATCTAAATAATAATGAAGAAGCACTATTGTTGTTGTTGTTGTTGTTTTAATTCAAGTAGTTAACAACAACAGTGGTGGTGGGTATTGATGGATGACTGCCAAGACTGAAACAGTACAGTAGTGCTAAAAGAAAAGTTAAGCACATGCACACATAAACTTGTTGCATGTTTGCTAATACAGTCACATGTTTCTAAAGTTAGAGCTTGGGAGGAATCTCTAATATCTGCTGGAAAGTATAAGGTGTCATTGTATCAGTATGGGTTTGATGCGATTTCTTGCATGGCTATGATCTCAGTTTTAATGAATGGCTGAATCACGGTGCATTTGGGACTTCACACCATAGGTAGCAGGTGGTGTATGCTATCAGCACCATTAGTGCCTCTGTTCTTCCTGACTGATGACAACGGCTACGCTTAAAAGATCACAATTGCTCACCCTTTCTCCTTTTGGAGAGACGTGTTTGTACAATGAAGAGTTGTTGGGAAGGTTGGTAGATTCTCTGCATCCAGGACATTTCTATGCCCCAGTCACCTCTCCATGACCCCAGCTTCCCAGTGGGCTGGCATTTCTGCAGCTGGCCTGGGGAGGAGTGAGGGAGTAGTCCCATCTGAAAGATAAGAGGATCATGTGCAGAGAGAGAAGAAGAGAAATAACATTATGGTCTTTTGCACTCAATGCTTAGACTAAGCTTTAGGATGTGGCTAGCTCAAGACAGGTCCAAGCAGTTATTAGTGCTGGAATATGTATTTAGGTTTTAGGTTTGCTTTGGTGAGAGATGGGGGGTCCTTTTGAGTAAAGGAAGATTTTTTTTTTTTTTTTTTATCACAGCTCCTGTATGCCCATATGGCGATTAGGAATGAGGACAGGACCTTCATTTCAGGGATGCTTGAGTCACCTATACAAAGCTACAGGGATTGTATGGAGATGATAAAGGGGGACAGAGGTGGAGTGGGAAGGGACAAAGATAGAGGCATGGCACACCCTTGTCCCTGGGGAGCCAAGAGAGAGCTCATCTGGTAGGAGGATGAGCAGAGACCTTTTTCAGCCTTGTAGAGATGCACACTTAACATTAAATGTTACTCAGATAGATAGTAGAATGCAGAATGGAGATTTCAGATCCTTTCCTTTGCATATCCCCTTCATAACATTGATAAAAGTTGTTGCCCATTTAAACCTGACAACTCTTATGTATATGGCAGCAAAACAAATATTTCAAAGAAAAGGCTGGGCTAGAACTCATATGCCTGATTTTTACTAGCTTTGCATGGGCAAGAGGTGTTGGTGAAGGACAATTTCATATAAATGACCTTACCTTGCAGTCTGAACTGAGTCATTCTCCAGGAAGAACTATATACTATATAATGTAATTATAATGAGCATATTTTCTGTCTTGCGGCTCTTGGGTATTCCTTCTGACAGTCTCTTAGTGAAACATACTGAATTTTCTGCAAATAAGAATATTGCTTTGCAATATGAAATGTTTTGTCAGTTGATAAGCAAAGCTTCAATTGTTCCTGTTCACAGCAGTAGACCAGAATGTCTGCTCTGACCAAAGAAGGAGGGTCAGTAGGTACAACTCATATTGGCCAGAGTATCTGCTCTTGAGGTTTTCTGCTGAAACAGAAAAAAGGAATTAATCATATTGCCATTTAAGTTAAATAGCACTGAAGGATTTAAACAGTCTTATGCCGAAGTATGTCCCAAATGATATACTATTGGTGCCAGAGGAATATGGAGGCATGCATATTGTCTGCACATGTAAGAAAGGCAATAGGTTAGTGCAATTATTAGTTACTATTCTATCATGGCAATTACCAGTCTAACAAGATGAAGAAATAAATAGCTGCAAATATATTGTCTTTGGATATCATGCTATTAGTTGTGGGTATTTACAAAAGAACAGGCATAACTTATGCATATCCAGGGTACAAAGATCTCACCTAAGAATGGTAAATTTACTGTATTCTTGGTAATAGCACAGATAAGATTTAGAAATACTGAAATCTGAGATCTGGCATGGTTTTTTTTACCTTCAAAATCTCAAGCAGTTTCTACAATTCATTATATAAGCGCATTAAACATACACTGATACACCATAGTCATGAACAAAACACAATTTAAGCTTTTAAAGAGCTGTTTAATCTTTATCCTTTGAGAACTAAAGCATCTTATGTGATACCACATTTGGGATATGTTTCTAGATTCATTTGCAACAAATTTGCAGAAATCTCTGGGATGGAGAAAAAAAGAGATAGAACAGAAATATGGCTGTAGAAATCTGCAGAGTGGGGAAGATGATCAAGACGGTACAGGAAATTATATGGTACAGGGAAAAAAATCTGACTGTACAGAGAGATCTGTGGATGGAAAACTATGTTCAGGTTTGCTTCAATTTTATTGTTCAATCCTGAACAAGTTTACTAAGGAGTAACTCATACTAAGTTCAGTAGGATTTCTCCCAGATGAAGGGATGTAGGATTGGATTCCCACTCAGAAATACAACCATCATTGTCTGCACTTAAGGCAGTTCCAATAGTTACTAACATTGGTAACTTGAAAAATAAGCAACCAAAAATAAACATTTTGGTTCTGGTCCTGGTGCGGGGGTGGGGGGAATCCAAAATCGATTATACCTTTACTAAGACTTTTGGTTGGTGCTAGCACAGGTGTCTAACTATGCATTTTAGTATTTTTAAAGGTCTATGATTATGAGGGTGCTATAAATTTCATACTACAATGTTTAGTGCAGATGTTAAACTTAATAATGATAGTATTTGTAAAAGGAATAGCAAAAGCGAAAATGAAAATTGAAAAAAAAAAGGCCAAAAGGCCAAAGCAATAGAAAAAACAATAATACTTTGAATAATAATGCAGAATTGTTTCTGGTGGCAGCTCTGTCTGTCTCCTCACCTGGTCAGGTGGCCAGAAGCAGCAGAGCAACATCCTTCAGTCTCTGTCTGGTACGTTTCTGCTGGCTGGTGTGTTTGCTGGGAGGACCTCTTCACCTTTGCCCAGGACTCAGAGCAAAGTGGTTGCTACGCTTGGCCTCTGGATTATCTTGTGGTACTGCTGGTAGAGTGTGGGAAAGTGAGGGGAGAGTGAGTGAGGACTTACAACTATCACTTTATTTAATAGGTGTTACTCTGCAGTAATTGTGTAACATTGTGGCCTATGAGTACGGGTTCTTATAGTGGAAGTATACATGAAGTATGCCTATAGTCAAGGCTATGGTTTTCCCAGTTGCAAGGCATGGCTGTGAAAGCTGGGCCATAAGAAAGGCTGAGCACCGAAGAATTGAGACCTTTGAATTGTGGTGCTGGAGAAGACTCCTGTGAGTCCCTTGGACAGCAAGGAGATCAAACCAGTCAGCCTTAGAGGAGATCAACCCTGACTGCTCTTATAAGGGCAGATATTGAAGATGAAACTCAAATACTTTGGCCACCTAATGAGAAGGAAGGACTCCCTGGGGAAGACCCTAATGCTGGGAACAATTGAGGGCAAAAGAAAAAGGGGACGGCAGAGAATGAGGTGGCTAGATGGAGTCACTGAGGCTTAAGTGGGCTCCGGGGGATGGAGGAGGACAGGAAGGCCTGGATGAGTGTTGCCCATGGGGTCGCAGTGGGTTGGACACGACTTCACAACGACAACAACAAATATATTCTCACACTCCATTGCCAGCCAAAGTCAGTTTGCAAACAACTGATGAAAGTTTAAGGTGAAAGGCACTCCATTCTCCCCATCTGGATTTGATCCTGAAAGGTCCAAGGGAAGTGTGGATGAATGTAGCATATGTTTTAAGAAAGGACAATTTGGATCAATATTGTTTGGATCATTATCCAACCTCTTATCCTCATGGGACTGGGCCCTAGAGCCCTTAAGTGCCTAGGCAGAGACTTCATGCATGCATGCACACACAAACACACATTGTTATGTATGTTGATAAAACACCACACAAAAATAATCTTGATGAACTCATATGTGTCATCATATTAAGATTGTTGTCTAGCAGCGATTTTGGAGTATTTTATTGATGTGAACAGGTAACACAGGCAAAGTCACACACAAAAACCTGACAGCTATGCAGAACATCTGCAATGTTCAGCACAAAACTCAAGAAATTACAAGCAAGATAGAAAACAAAAAAACGTGTGCATGTGTGTGCACGTGCATGCATGTGCATAAAATAGTGATGAAACAAAGCGACAACCTCCCCATCCATTATAGATGTGATCAGACTTAAGATGAAATGTAAAAGGACATGGCACTAGAACAGAGTTATAGCTTAACACATAGAAAAGAAAGTCTTACAGAGCAATGTCAAAAGAAAACAGAAAAAGCAAAACATTATGAAAGTTCCACTCTTTAAATTCAGTTTCTTCTTTACTATTATACAGAAACTGGCCCTAGGTAAAATACTCATGCTCTCTCTCTCTCACGCACAATATAATTCAGGACTGTCATGGGATGTTCTTTGAATATGTGGTCCTCAAATAAGAGCTTTCAAGATTTTAGGACAAATGTCTTTAAAAGCCTTTGGATGTGCATCTGACATAGCTCTTTGGATCGTGGCCTATATTTTATATTATTTTTAACTTTCAGAAAGCAAGTTGATAGCTTTCTTCCTGAAAACAACAGGTTTCTGGCAGTATGTTGGAAAACCAACAGTCATATTGCATTTGCCATCATACTATTAACTTTATTGCTACCATCTTACCATATATCCTTTGTGTCCTTCGTCAATTTGTTTAGAGATATTTTGCACGTGTGACCAAAATCTCAGTTTAGTAATTTTTCCCTCAATATTGAGACAGAAGATTACCCCTGCTAACCTCAATTACAGACAAGATTTGTGGAAAGTTATTCATATGTGCTGAAAGATTTTGGTCTATAATAACAATGCATATATTCATAGAGTTCTTTCTCTCTCCCTCTCCCTCTCTCTCTCTCTCTCTTACTTCCCTAAAGCTACACACTGACCAAGATAAAGGAGATGGAAATTTAAAATACATATTAACAGGAGATGGGGCTGGCAGTTTATTTGTTATAGATGAAAATACAGGAGATATTCATGCAGCAAAAAAGCTGGACAGAGAAGAAAAGTCCCTGTATGTGCTACGAGCTAAAGCTATCAACCGAAAGACCGGAAGGCAAGTGGAGCCAGAATCAGAATTTATCATTAAAATCCATGATATCAATGACAATGAACCTAAATTTACCAAGGACATTTACACAGCCAATGTTCCTGAAAAGTCTGGAGTTGGTAAGTTTAATTTATTATCATATAAAGTACAGGGAAAAAGGAAAAGAGATTGAATGTTAAGTTACATTGCAACCATACTTTAAGTAGTCATAACAACTTCTATAAATATCAATTCACCAGTTCCTGTTTGTCAGCAAACTCTCCCCGTTCCTACCACTCTGGTTCCCATATAGCTTTCGTAAAACCAGCACATTCCAATGGAAACATGTACACCATGTGATGTTAACAATAATTATTACTCACTCTTGTTCCACTGAAAGCAATGCTAAATGTGTCCATACTGATGTACAATTAGTGATGGCACTCTGTTAAACACTTTCATATTTTGTGTAATTTTAGCCACTTTGTGTGCCAAGAGTCTTATGTGCTCACTATCCCTCCATAACCCATAACTGGTCTCTTTGATGCATTCCTGGAACACAGTTCAGGTCTGCTTTGATATTAAGAGCAAATAAGATAATAAGCATAATTTGCAACCGTAGGGAGGTATCCGAGGTCGCCTGCTGCCAACAAGCCTCACTGCTAGCACTATAAGCAGTTAGCACTCCTAGAAGGCAGTATTTTCACACATTTCTGGGCTTGAACCACTGACAGATGGCGCAGGAAGACAGCAGGAGCAAGACTGGACACCACCTAGAGTTTTGCTGCTTTAAAACAGGCTTGCAAACTATGGTTGGAAAACCAACCCTATTTTCAGTTGACCATCATTTGTGCCATTGCATATATGACAGTAACAATGGTTGGGTTCCGATAACAAACCATGGTGGCTTTTTACTTTTGTTGGGCTGTCGTGATATTCCACCATGTTAATTTGGTCTTTGGAAATCATAAGAAACAATTGATTATTCTATGGTTTTTCTATATCACCATGGCTTCTCATATTGTCTGAACCCAGGATCATGGTTTCTACAAACCTGGCATGTAACCACTACAGAGTGTAAAGAGCAACAATTGTGGGAGCCACTCCAGCCATTCAACCTCAATGTGTGGGCCACTGAGGAAGAGGCAGGCAATATAAAGGAGTGATGAAGCTTGAGATGGAATTTCAGCTGCAGTGGCTAATTGGATGCATGCCAACAATGAGTAAACTGAGCAGGGAGGATGGCAGCCACATAAAGTAGAAACCACTTGATTATCTCTCATGTAGATCATGGTAAAAAAGAACAGGTGAACCATGGTAACCACACCCTGGTTGCCTGTTGTCCTGCATAAACTCAGCCAATGGTTAAAGCTAACTATGGAAGGGCAAAGGAGAAATTCGCATCAGTGGGGGATTTATGTAGTGCATACTTACGATATCAGCAAGGCTACCTTTGCATTAGACAGAATCATTGTTTGGCCATTGACAGGGTCTCAATGGAGCTACTGTTGCTCATTTTACAGACATTTCCTTCAGATGACACTTCTGATCAATTTGGGGAAGCACCACAAAATCCTACAAACCCTTAATAGAAGTTGCAATAGAAAAATGGGCCACAGGGAATTGAGCCTTTTGCATACTACCTTCTAATCACTGAGTGGTGAGACCTCAAGCTGAGAGATCACTTCTCTTCTTCAGATCTGCAGAAGAGCCTTTTTGAGGGCACACTTGAGCACTTTTTGTCCTACATCACTCTTAAGTTATGGAATGCATTCCTTTCAGAGCACATAGTAACCACTCTTGTGTGTGTGTGTGTTTGTTTTGGAAAGATGGTAAGACATATTTCTCAATTTGACCTTCTACATTGTGAATATGTGTTTTAATACTGCTACAAAATAGTGGCCAATTTGGTGGCCTTGGACAGCACCTGGGGGTCATGAAACTCCCAGATCTGAGGTCAAACATAATGCTTCACTCTAACCTTGGAGCTGGGAATTAGAGCCCTACTCCTCACATCTGGTGGGGAAGGAACCACGTCTGCTGTTTTTCAAGATCATGAAAGTAACTTCACAGATGCAGGGAGCAGGGAGGAAGAGAATGGAGTAGGCAGGACCTGAAGTATCCTGAAGCTTCTGCAGTCTTCTTCTTTCCTCCTCCTCAAAAACAGGTGAAACCACTTATCTGATGGAAACCTCAGGCTGGGAAAATAGGGTGCTGAAAATAATCTTTGCCTCTCTTTCTACACTGCACTGGATGTCCATAAACATCTGTGTTGTGAGAGGGGGCTTATGATGAGAATACACCCTTAAATGTTTTAGTGTGCTTGAACAGGTGGTGGCCAGCAACTTCAGATACCCTTGGAGGAAGCAGACCATCTAGGTCCATTTCAGGCTGGTATCAGGGCTGGCTTCAGCCATGGTATCCCTTTGCATAGGCTGGTCAAGTTAGAAGTGGGAGACACTGTTTTCTGTTTCAATTTGGTTTTCTGATTCCAGAAGGTGCTATGGGGTGTGTGTGGGGGGGGTTATGGCTCTGTGCCATGGCAATCATGGCATGGGGTACTTTATGGTTCTCTTTTATCTCCCATGCTGGTTAACATCTACATGAAACTGCTGGGAGGAGCCATCTAGAGGTTTGGGCTGAGGTGTCAGAAGTATGCTGATGACACCCAGCTCTACCTCTCCTTCTCATCTAATCCAAATAAGGCAGTGCCTGCCCTGAATGATGGTCTGGATGAGGGCCAATAAAATGATGCTTAATCCAGATAAGAGGTATTGTTAGTAAGCAGATCATCCATCTGGGTGAGTGACATTTTCCCTGTTGTGATGGGGCTGCACTCCCCCTAAGGGGCAAGGCGTGTAGTTTTGGTGTGCTCCTTGACCCAGAGCTATCCTTGGAATCTCAGGTGCATATACAATGGGATAGAAATGTTTTAAATAAATAAATAGTGTGTGTTTATTGCTTGCTATGCTCTTTTGTGTTGTTATTTTTATGTAAATGATTGCATACTACCTCAGTGACATTTGCAGAACTTTTATAAATAAAATAAACTTAATAAGCTTCAGGGACAGATGCATGGGGACAAAGCGAGGAAGGACCTCCTTGCAGAAACAGCACCTCCACAAAGCCTGCCATGAAACACTCACGCGAGTGAGACCTGGGCTAGCTCCCTTGCCTGTAAGTACACTGAGATAGGCTAAAGGCTTGCACATGATGGTGCACCGTGTCACATGGTGTTTGCTCATTAGGGGAAGAAAGCCAAGACAGAGGCATCTCAAAGCTCTGTTCCTATGGATGAATGGCCGGAACAGGAGATGTGCGCTTACTGAAACTCTTCCTGCCCCACCAGGTCTCTTTAGGAGGTAAAGGAGAGGATACATTCTGTACAAGCAGTTCAAATGTAAAGGCATTTGTGCCAGTTCGGAGGCACCTAGCTTTATTTATTTATTATTTATTAAAACATTTCTATGCCGCCCCTTGCCAAGGCCTCGGGGCGGCTTACAACAAGGGGCGGCTTTAGAATGCATGGCTCAGGAAGTTCACTAACTATACATTGGCCTTTGGCCTGAAGCTGAGTTTTATACACATGAAAGCTAATACTCCATGATAGACATTATATGCTCTTTGAAACTTAACAGGGACATATGGAATGCTTCCACATGCAATTTCTCTTATGTACTCTCAAACACCTTTTGAGACAGATGTACCCACATATTATTTGGAAATAATATATACTGAAGACCTCTATCGTCAACAAAAGCTATTGTTATGGCAAGAAGCCTGCACTTTTGTCTATGCGTAAAATCATTTAGGCAGATGTATCTTTGACATCTCAAATTAGTGTTTATTAGAATTCTCATGCACAAGCTAAACAGAAGGCAGTTTGAGCAAATCAAACTGAAATTATGCAAGGCAGGTTAGGCATATCCAGTTGAAATGAATGTTAATGTTGTTTTTAGAAAAATCAAGCTGGGTTCAACTTTTTAGATGGTCTCACTTCTCAAAAAGCCTTCTGAAAATTATCCTGGTTTTACCTATGCAGAAGACCAATTGCAAGCATTTTGCATAGCTATCCAACAGAGTCCATTCAGGGCAGAACCACAGGCATACAACTGCGTATAATGGTTCAGTTAGTTTCTATATCCTAGCCAGAGAAATGTCCCTGCCTTTTAGTAGGAAATAGTGGAGACACCAGGAGCAAACTTTTACCCTGAACTTCTGCCTGTTATACAGCTATTAAATCCCTCATTGTTTACAGAAGGCAGCACAGTAGAAATCAACCCAAAAGAAGGCCAAATTTTCCAGGAAGCAGTATGCTTATAGCTGCCATTGCATGCATTAAGGTGAGTCAAATGTATGTGTGCAAGGGACTGGTAGGCAATTCCTGTTCTGGATAACAATACTGCATAAAGCACATTTTAAAACCTGTTCTTGCTATATTCAACTTTTGCATTTGTAGGTATTTGTGTGAAAGCACACACCAATTTAAAACTGTTCTAAGTAGGTGAAAAACAGCAGCCATGAAACACAAAATATCAACTGGATCAGATTTGAGGATACCGTGCCTTGTTTCCATGGTGAGCAGCTTCTAGAATGCTCAGCCATTAAGGACCTGAAGAATGAACGATGTGCCGGTGCTGGTGCCTGCCTTCAGCACAGGGCTGAAGGTGGATCCAGGAAACTCCGCTCTACAGTCAGGTTGAGTTTGATCCAGGCAGAATTCTAGAACAACTTATTATGAAGTTCATATGTGAGTCTCTAGGAAAACATATTTGGTTTAGGGTTAGGGTTTATTAAATATGACTTTATTAAGAAAAAGTTATTCCAGACCAGCTATACTTTCTTCTCTGACAGTTACTAAAGCAGTAGATCTTGGGAATCTCATGTGTACGGTATATTTTGCTTCAGAACAGCATTTTGAAAGTTCTCCCAGGATACACCTGTTGACAATATTGTAAAATGTGAGCTAAATGATGCCAGCCTTCAGGGGAGCATCAAATGTGCACACTGAATGCTCATCAATGATTCTGCATTGAACTGATGGGAGGCCTGAAGCGGAACTCAACAGAGTTGTGTTCTGGGCCCTGTGTTCTTCAACATTTGTATGAATTTTTTGAAGGGGGCACAAAACTGGGAGGGT